CAAGATCTATAGCTTAATAAAATACAAGTACATTCAATGTATTTGATTACCTACTTTAGTCGCACCTAATCTACCTGATTTCCAAAAGCACAGCATTGTACTGCCCAGCAATGCTTCCAAAATAATCACTATCTGCCACGACCACCAATCTATCACTCCACTCACCACAAGCAATGGGGAGATGACACGGATTGCTGAGGATGCACCCCAGAAAGCCTCTCTGACTTTCAGGGCTGAGCAGGGCCACCCCTTTTCCCATGGAGAACGCCCATCAGGGAAAGGAGCTGTGCTGAGCCTGGGTAGTACTGCAAGCATAAACCAAACACACGGTAACTTTTCCGTAATGCTTCTCACTGCTGGAGAGCTTACTGGGATTTCCCTATGGCAGTGATCCCTCCACAGTAGTAACAGGGGAACAGCAGCATTGGGTACCACCTGCAACATAGCTTTGACTGCTCTCAGCAGCCTGCAGGCACCCGCCTGCAAATGTGTATCAGTAAAAGCAACCTTCCCAGTAGGGAATTTTTGTTCTTTAAACAAACTGTGTGATTTAGGGATGTGCTTTCACTACCAGAACAGCATTGAAAGAGGCTGCATCACTGCAAGTATAACAACTCATCCAGGAAATTACTAAAGAAATTAAGAGTCAGTTTGGCACAGGACGCTCCAAAGTCCTGAAGCCAGTGGGAGTAGCAGAGCCAAGTGCATTGCGTAGAAACTGGCTGCAATTAAGCACTTCTGAAAGTCTGAATATTAACAGCCAGCATCCTCAGTCACAGTATCTGTGCATATGACAGTAATAGAAGACTGCTACCTGCGAAAGTATCTACAGAGGAAAACAAAACACAGTCCTGATCTAGATTATGGAGACCAAGCACTTTGTTCTCAGCAGTTTAAAGCAAGGTTATTTCTGCCAACAGAATATCTCCAGACCTTTATAGCAGAAATATAACTGAAACACAGGGTAATTTGCCTTCATTTTTGACTCTGCGACGGCACATCTCAGAATGAAGCACTCCATGGTGAGGAACCAGACCGAGGTCCACCGGCAGCCTGCAGGAGATGTCGTCTGGTCCCATTTGGCCCCAGCAGCACATTTAGACCTAACCAGTGTTTGACAGTCTGAATCTCTCTGGAAGGCTGCTGTCCAAAAACTATTTCCAGTTTCCTGATAGAAACCTCCAGAAATGCTCTGGACCTTTTTTGTTTTGCTTGTGGTTTTTTTGTTTTTCAGGGGTTTTTTTTGCTTGTTTGTTTTGGGGGTTTTTTTTTTTTTTGGTGTGTGTGTTTTGGTTTTTTTTTTAAAACATGGTCTATAGTTGTTTGGGGTTTTTCTCCTTACAGAAAGCTTTATTGGAAGAAATCTCAGAGCTAAAAGCCCCTAAATCCTTTATTACATTTTTTAAAAAAGAAAAAACAAACACACAAAAAAAATCATACCTTCTCTATACCCTATCTTTGCATGTCATGTTTGTTCTAGGCCCAGAAAGGGAACTATCAGCAGTTATTCTTTTGCTTAAGCAAAGCTCCAGTAAGCTCTGGCAGCCTTTACTACCTTTGTTTCTCCTTTCTAGATGTGTTATTTCATAAGCAAGCATAAGAAAGCCAAAAATTCATACACTCTCTCAGAGATGGCAGAAGCCAGCAGCACCCTGCTAAGCCCACACACCTAGGCTACAGGGAGGCTAAAATTAGTGTGCAAAGCTCTACCTCCTGCCCCCTGGTTCCACCAGGCACCACCAGTACTGCAGCTGGGGTGACCGGCTTGAGAAACAAAGGCAAGAACTTAGTGCTTCAGCTACACACAGGTTACAGAGAACAAGCTTCATCCCAGTACCTTCATACCCAGGCTCTAATTAGAGAGAGTTTTGTAATAGGTGGTGTTCTTTTTGAATTCCCACCTGGTTATATTTTTACCTCCACAACTGCCCAGGCTGATGTTTATATGAGATTATTAACAGGCACTTCAGCACAGAACTCAGGGTTTGTCCACACAATGCAGGTACGCCTACAGCACGGTGAAGGCGTACCGTGCTCCTGCTCTAATTAACATTACCCACGGCAGATGAAGTGCTCAGCACTGCTTTAAGTCCCCTCCAAGTGCCCTCAGTGTCCCAGCTAGTTTGTCCACTGCATTTCACCTGCAAGGCTCGTGAAAGCCACCGTAGGTATTACCTGTACAGTAACCACAGTGTTATTGACTTCAGCCTTCCCACGCAATTATGAAAGAGATTTCACTTTTGAGAGCAGCACTTTATCAGAAACATTTCCTGGAGCTTGTTCCTTTTTAGGCCACATCAGCAATCCCAGAGAAAGAGGAATCAAAAGCAGCAGAAACAGAAATACTTTTAACGTTCACAAGCAGCAAGAGACATCATTGTGAAACAGTCAACAGGGAAAATTCAAGTGTTTCCTACCGACTCAGGATGGTCATTTCGAACTACATAGTCCTAACAGCACCAAGAGGACAATACCACAACAGTAAACATCACCTATGTACAAGTTCTGCAGCATGAAGCAATCCCATGTACTGCCCTTTGTGCTGAAAGAGCAATTCCATGTGGTTTGGGATTAGAGCCTCTGAGTGGAGCCAATCTGGGCAGTCCTGGAGTGCGGGTGGTGCAGGAACCTCCAAAGCAGCTTGGCCATAACGGATCCGGATTAACTGTTCGCTCCTTCCAGTCCATACAAAGCTTGAGACAGCCACAGTACATGGCAGCTCTGAGTTCTGTCAGGACACATCTCTTCTCAGAGACACTCAGCAATGCCTCGAAACATTGTTCCCTTTTTCCCTAATTTCTCCTCTCTGAAAGCAAAGACCATAGTCCTGTATCTTCTCAAAGCTCTCAGAGCTGGGCAGCCACTGATACCTTGGTATAAGCTCAGCACCTTTTCCCATCTAGCAGGCTATAGATTTTCTTGGCAGCAAAGAAGTGGCCAAGGTATTTTAAAAAAAAAAAAATCCAAGTTTTTCCCAGGAATCTTCTCTGGCTTTTGGAGGCTCTTCTTTCTTTTCTAACCTTTCATACAGTGTTAAACGCCTCAAGTGTTTTAGGAAAGCAGGTTTATTCAATAGTGTTAATCCCAAAATGTGAAAGGACAAGACAACAGCAATTACATTTTATTACTGAAAGCATGTGTCCAGAAAGGCACTCACACACTCCCAGGAGAGTAATTTTACAAGTCACAACCCTTAGCCCCGCTTCCTCAAGACCCCAATGCCACAACTTTGCAGGTCAGTACCACACACATCACATTCAGTGTGCCTCTTCCACTCCTCCCACCGTCATTCCCAGCTGACAGCTCCAGACACCCCAGTGCCAGGTCACTTGTGACAGAACCACACTAGGAGAGTTTATCCCAAAATAGTCAGGGAAAACTGTCTGCTAAGAAGGAAGCGAGACCTTATTTTTCAGCACTGTGAACATCACAACTGACAGACACCCACCATTTTAATATCCACTCCAAGTCTTGCTCAGTATCACAAATACCCCCACAAAGGCTGCCAGAATAACAAACAAGAAAAATCTTCATCAAGACCAAATTAAAGCTGTAGGCTGCTGCCTAGCTGTCACTCAAAGATTTATGGGCAAGAAGAATGACCCACTCCCTCCATAAACCCCAGCACAGCTGCCAGCGCTGGCCTGCCAAATGGCTTGCTTTGCTGGCACACCTTTACCTGGCTCAGTTTACAAAGGAGTTTTCATTCAGAAGCTGCAGTCATTTTTACATCTGAGTGAGTTAGAGAATGTATTCAACTAGGAGGGACATAAATGCCTTCCACCATTTCACCGGTGTCTAATCAATGTGATTACTTGCTAGGCTGTATGTGTAATTCTTTTACTGAAGCAGTAACTCTATGGATAGAAACTCTAGTATGAACCCAATTTTACAGTCACAGCCAGAACTACACTGGTACAAATGTGTTCCTTTCTGCAGAGGGGTAACTCCTAGTCACCTTTACATCAGGTGACTGAGTGGGGAATACTTCAGCTGCACAAAATCACTTAAAGCAGCACAGTTGTTCGTCATTAGAGCATCTGGTATTTTTATTGCAATGACAGTAAGCCTCCAGCTGCTCTGCTGAAGGGACTCACCATAACCCAACAAGTTATTGCATCCCTAACAAGTGCTTCTGCTTAATTGTGCTTCTTTACTGCCACATACAGTCATACCAATGCAACATAAATGCATGCTAGTTCAAGGGAAACAGAAAAATGCATGGGTGGGCAGGCACTGTTCTCAGTTTGGGGATACAGCTGTGGTGCCAGCTGAGCTAGTTCTGCAGGGGAGCATTAGTTCTGGGTCTCAGACATCACCAGTGGAACTTAATTTGCATCAATATGAAAATTTCAAGTTTCACGTGGCTTTTAACATCACTAACTACTCTGGTAAAAAAAAAAAAAACAACAAACCACAAACATGCTTCAGACAGGGCTGGAAGTTAACTTTGCTTCCCAAAGGTAACATATTGAAGGCAGCCTTTCTGAAAATAATCACAGTGTTACACACATTCAGGTGCAAGGAATTAATACACAAGCTTAGGTTTTAGCAGACCCTTTCTGCCACAAGAGCGGAACCTTGCCAGACCGACAAAACACAAAGATGGGAGATCTGGGTTTTATTAGCTTTTTGCTGTTGGATGTTAGCTGTTCCTCATCCCATGTCTCTACCCACATCTATCTACTTCACTAGGGAATAGTGGCACCTGCCTCAATATTGTCTGACTGCTCTTAGCAGGTACTACTGCAAAGGCAGAGCTGGCAGTCAGAAGCTCCCCACCGCTACGCTGGGCCGCTTCAGTGTAGCCCAGGATGGGCAGAGAAGCTCCATTGCACAGCTCTTAAACACACAGAAAGCTAACACCTGCTGTACCTATGTAAAGGTTAAAGCCCCTCGGGTTTTACTATGTTTTAATTCACCTCAGGAGAAATCAACACTGTACACTTCAGCATGATTATTTACACATCTTCTACACCATAATAAAAACAGAAATTTACCAGTAAAAAGCAATTTTGTCCCCAAGTTTCTTCTCATTGACATTTCTGTCCAGCAGGTTGTAGCAGATGTTGGTGGTCGCCCCTTTCATCCACTCAATGAAGATCTTCCCCTTCGTCACATCAAAATTGTACTTCAGAAAGGGTCCCGTGTGCTGACTCTTCCAGTAAAACTCTTTAGCAATGTCACCCCAAAATTCTGCAAAGGCAACGGCCAGAGCTCATAACCCACAAACAGGCACAGATAAGGAAGACAACACTTTAAGGAACAAGAGGGGCAGCCCCCACGCTCCTGCACCCCACGAGTGGGTGGCTCGCC